TTCGTAGGACTCGGCCGGAGATATCTTGATCTCCGGACACACGACCACTGGGTTGTGGTGAGAGGTGGGGGTCTTCGGGCGGTGTCGCCGGTCATCCTTCGCCGGGAACGTGAAGACCGGAATCGATAGGAAGTTGCCGTAATTGGAGGGCCGGTAGTCGGAGCCGAGTTGCTGCTGGTGGTGATGGTTGTGCTGGTTCTTGAACTCCAGTTGTGGCACATCTGGGATGACAATTGTGGTCAACTCGGCCGACACACCGCCGATCTCTTCGGGGAACGGACTCGAAGAGTTGCACCTGTATTATAGAGTAATGAACAGACACTTTATGATTGCCTAGAGCACTGGTAGGTCGTGAAGTAGTACCTGGATATCCCCGGACTTGAGAGCGACGAATAGCCGGACGTACTTAAGTTGGACTCCGATATCGTGCGATCGGATGACCCGGTGATAGACATGGGGTTCAGATAATGCACACCAGCCTTCTTGCACGGGTTGGGCGTAGTGTTGGGATCGCCGGGAACTCCAACTGTATTGATCTGTATTCGAGGCACCATTTCCAGCGAGAACTTCCGGCCCCTACCGCCGGAATCGCCTATTTTCTTAAGCATTGGTGAGCAGCACGACTGCGAACCCGGACTGGTTGACCGTTTACTGTCGACACCCCCGACCCCGACCCCCGTCATGGGATTGGGCGACGGCTCAGATAGTCGGCGGACAGGCTGTACGGGAACCGTCAGCTCACAAGCCATTGAGCCGTACGACGACCTCTGGCCCAGTGTCTGGTGGTAGGGGTGAGCCGAGCACCGTATGTCCGGCTCGTAGTCGCTGTAGTGTTCAATGGAGGCGTTGGTGACAGTGATGGCCGGCGGGAAGAAGTGGTTGGGAGTACTGGCGCCCGAACTCGTCGATGAGGTCGACGACAGCATCTTATCCTTCATTGAAATTAAAGTTTTTATCAAATTTTGTTTATAGAGTCGACGGAAGAGATCAATACTTGTCTCATATATCCGGAGGACGAGGGCTGAGGCGAGTCTATGTCGCAGTACGCCATACACGGGGAACGGGAGGACTCCTGTATGGTGTGTATGTCGTTCAGTAGGACATCCGTCTCGGACTCCTGTTTCATAATCGGCGAGTTATGCAATAGACTGATGCTGTCGGACGAGGAGTCGCCGGGAAGGGTGTTGTTCCGGGAGACGCCCCTACAGTCGGGACACAATTCATGCAATCAATCATTGATATTACAGGTATTGATGGGTCCATACCTGGAGTACTGGTCCTCCTGCGAGGCCTCCGAAATGGCCGAGAATTGTCTCATGAGATTAGAGGGCGATCGCCGCCCGGGCGATGAGGACGGGCTCTTCTGGGAGCTCATGAAACTGGACTCACCGTCGCTGAGGGACACATCGCTGGCCGACTGGTCGATGGTCTGTGTCATGAATTTGTGTATCTTTAAGCGCCGGTTGTTTTGTATGAACTCGTCGAGCGACAGGCGTCGGTTTTTAGCGGTCGACCCGCCGGCGCCCACCAACGACTGCAGGATTCGTTGCTTTTCGAGCGGGTCCTCAACGGACACGGAATCCCTGGCCGACGAGGCGTGTCGTATGAAACTGTTGATGGGGTTATACCGACTCCCGCCCCCACCCCCACTACCAGCCCCGCTGTCGGCGTCGCTGTACTGATCCATGGCTACCGCCTCCGAGTCGGAGAAGTGGTTGACGTTTGAGGGCCGGCGCTTGTGTTTACGCAATCTGGTCATGAATGTGGACCGGGATCTGGGGATTGGGCTTAAATTGATTGGACTTATGTTGACGTTTACGCCGACGTTAGACGTGAGGCTATATCGAGGTATACTGACTGCGAGGGTTGTATGGGATTTGGAGGGACGGGTTGATTAGAGTATGGATTAGTAATTGTGTTATAGTTTGAGATTTAATGTAATGAATGGATTCAGACTTTCGGGAATTGGAAACTAATTTTGTTTATAAAACTATTGATTTTTAAATTTGTGTTTAAAACGGCGTTCCCCCCGAAAACGAGTCCCGTTGCCCTAAATCGGGTGCCATATGTATATCATCTGGTGGTCGGGTGTACTCACAACTGGATTTGCTTTTCTCGATCTCTTCGGCGAAGAAGGCTTCGATCCGTTCGGCGAACTTCTTCTTAATGCAGTAGACGATGGACAGGAGGGCCAGTACTGAGCCGACACATATGAGGCCCAACCAGAAGGGCTCCTCCAGCATCTTCTTGCTCAGCGGCTTGTATTGGATTTTGAAGGCAAACCTCTCGCAATGAATCCCTGTATTAGGCTATCGATTCCGGTCTTCACGTTCCCGGCGAAGGATGACCGGCGACACCGCCCGAAGACCCCCACCTCTCACCACAACCCAGTGGTCGTGTGTCCGGAGATCAAGATATCTCCGGCCGAGTCCTACGAACGAGTGGACAGTTATGTCTCGTCGCTCGTCGAGGACGAGGGCATTGAATGCGAACTTGATTTCATACAACGGGTTTGTGTCCACCAATGAGTGTCTTATTGTGGTATCAAATCTGAAAATTATCTCTTCTTTTGCCACTCTTTCCGAAGGAATCGAAACAATCGCTGAGAAACGTGCCGAAGAGCAGCAGTTATATGTCGTTTGAGATGCACTCCCGGCCCGACTCCTCATTCGGGAGGACTGGGAGCCGACACGAGCTCCGGGAGTCCGGCACCGGCGCTAAGAAACTGAGGAAAAAGCTAATCTCATCGCCGACTCACTCGCTCGAAGACTTCACGACAGAGACGACGAGTCGGAGGTCGAGGACTGGCGATAGCCTACGGGCGCCCAAAATCAGGCGCAACCCCTCGTGGCCAGCGGTCATGATATCACCGAACAGTACCTCCTCTTCGGAATACGAAGAAAATCGGAGCCTAAAGCAGACGACGAGCGGCCAAAAGTTGGCCAAAAAGTCCACGTATTTGACGACAAAAGTGAAAAAACTGCACAAAAGGCGACTTAAGTCGCGGTCGAGACCGCAGCTTGAGAGCAGCCTATCGGTGAACAGCTGTCCCATCAGTAGCGACAATAGGCTGTCCGCCCGGTCAGCGAATAGTTGGTTCCACTCGTCATCCCGTTCCTCGTCGACGGAGTCGTTCCTGTCCTCAGCCAATGACGACGAGACGACTATTATCTCACAAATCAGGCCTAAGAAGAAACACAACTCCAGTCAGAGTCTGTGTTACGAGCCGTCAGTCTGTGATATATTCAACGCCGGCGCCGATTACCCCGATTCAGCACAACTTCACCCGAAACAGGCCATCGCTTCCATATCCGACACCGCCTTACATAAGGCTAATAATAGGTGTGTCCTCCGTGTCCTACCATTCCCTAAGAGTCCCTCAAATAATGTTTAATTGTAATAATAATTAATTAATAACTTTTTACGTGCTTTTTTGGCCAAAGTTTTGACAATCCGTTGTCAAAACCGGTCAGCAGTTCATTGGAAACGTCTTCGTCGTCGTCGAGGAGACGATCCAAACGGACGATACATAAGCAGAAGGCTATGCAAGAGGACGACCACATGTCTGTCCACTCCATCACCACTCATATCGCTATTTAATTCACTAATTGTTTGACTTTTATTACAGTTTCGACTCATTTCTCGATAAACAGGTTCTGTTGGAAAGAAGTTGAGTCCAGACGTGAGAACTCAAGCACTTCTTCAAGTGATTCCTCTGAATGTCTTAATGTCTTGAAAATGGTGGCCAACCAGTGATCACCCATTCATTGTGTATATAAGAGTTGACAACAATTTGTTTTGTATTAAATTTATTGTCACTTTATTTTGTATTAATAATGAAATAAATTACAATAAAAATCTCTGATATCCTGGTGCTATAAACCCGGTGGGTTTTTGGGCTTTATTTTTATGCCCTCCCCCTTCGGGTCACCTACAGTTAATAATTTAAAAATCTTATTTATAAAATTTTTAACTGGATTATTTATTTATGAATTGTTTTATTAAATCTAAAATAATATACCTGTATATAAAAAACATTATATTTTTGAAAACTTATTAAAACTAATTAAAAAACTTTTATCTCAATCTTGTAATTGCAGTAAATTATTCTTGGAGTACGTGTTGGCCTTGGTACTTGATTTTAGTCCATTGAAATTCAATATACTCATATTATATTCAATTACATAATTCATTGCGAAAGTTAATTACCGGTACTTTTATCCTACTATTAATAGGATATACAGTATGCCTACTATTAATAGTACGTTATGTGTGTCAATACAATAGTTGTTATCTCTTGTATTGACTAATGCGTGAAAATTCACTGCAAAAACAGTCAATTCACACACTTTTCTCACATTTCAGTCGCTTATCAAACACTTTCTCCATATTTAATACCAAATTGTATTACAAATCATATCAAATCCCATATGCTATGTATGCGCGCAATGCTATTAATACGACCGGACAGTGGTGTCCGTGCACCTTGACACTTAATCCTCGCAGTCATATGACTTTTGATAAACTATTTTTCAAATATAAGTCCAGTATTTGTGATACATTTGTGATCATGAGATCACACGCTATAGTCTTTAGGTCATCAAAAGGAGTCAACTTTTTTTCATCAATTATTGTATTTGTGTATAAAAAACACATTCAATAGTTTGTTGGCATTGAATTAAACTCCACACTACTGTTACGGTATGACAGCACCGGTATGTATGGAAAAAAACTCATTTAAACCTTTGACTCCAACTATTGATTGACTCTAAAAAGTTTCGCAAACTTTCGCACAACTCATCTCTCATTCACTCGCTTTCAGTCATACGGCTAACCATTGCCTCAAATATCTTATAATTTTTAATCCAAACTTTCATTTCAACCGTTAATTCAGCGCAAAATGAGTGGTAAAGCGGGTGTGGGATCACCACAAGCGCCGCAACTGTCCATCACATCCATGTTTGATGACATGTGTCGGGCGGGCAACGGGTTGGTGGACATGGAGTGCGACACCGGTATGTATCTCAAGACACACACACGAGCCATATACCAATGTCTCACTGATAACTAACCATCGGTTCCCTTGCGGTGATCGACAACAGCCAACACGCTTTTGGTGGAGAACTTGGAGAGGGTTCGTCTCAATTGGTTTACGGCCGTCAATG